TCATGAAGGAGCGAGAGATGCAGAGCTACATCGAGGAGCGTGAGCGGGAGGTCGCCGAGCGTGAAGCTGCTTGGAAAGCTGAGCTCTCTCGCCGCGAGGTCTTTCTCTCTCCTTTTTGATTGTTGCCCTTTAAAGTTGAATAATTCAGAACCAGGGATTTCCGCGCATTTAATTATGTCCGATCGGCCACCGGTAATTCACTTGCTTTTCAATCAACATTTGTTCTTGATGCTCTGCATTGCACATCGTGTTTTATGAGAAGATGTTCATTTTCTTTCCATTAGAAGTATCGAGTATCTCCATGATGCTTCCCGTTTTCTTCAACAGAAGGGCTTATTGGAATTCATTGCTTCTAGACTGCAACTCCTTTATTTCTTTGAGAAATTTCGTTCCTAAATTGCCACCAATTCATCGTTACTTCTCATGTTTTAGTTTAGTTTGAAATGGCTTCGTGAAAATCAATTGCTTGTAAAGGGTGTTTGGGCATCTACGACTGGTACATAAAATGAAGTATTACCTAAAAAAGAATTTCCAGTAAATTTGGAAGAGTGTATTTCGAACTTCGTCAATTCATTGCTTTTGAGTATTTTCTTATAATTAAGCATGATTTAAGCATAGTCCCTTGCCCGAGGTTGCTCTATGCCTCATCTGTGTGCATAAGCTCACTCCAGGTAAATTATATTGCATTTATAATTCTGAATTTAACCTAAGTGTGCACTCTGTTCCATTTTTTTCCCTTCTAATGTTTCTTAAACCTTTGCGATTGTCATTTATAAAAGTCATCATTGTTTTTTTTTTTAAAAATCATTTCTTTCTTTTATCTGTTTTCTAATGAATTGGCATTTTTTACAACCTTCAGTTGACTCTAGCAGATGGTCTATAATCAGCATGAGCTGCCTTCCTTTGCACTGTTTTTGAAGAGATTGATTCTACAAAAAGTGTGGAATTCGTTTACAAATTCACATTTTAATATTTAGAATGTGGATATACAAATGAATTCTCTTTTTACTTTTCTTAACATTCATTTGCTTTGAACATTGCCTAGCTTGTGTTTTTCTCCCCGACATAGTGCTCTCTTGATTATTTCCTTAGTTAACTAAGATCTCATTATGCCTCAACATATTTCCTTGGTTGGCTAAGACTAAGTTTGGAACTACGAATTCCAAAAGAAAAGATAAATTTCACAAATTATGAACTCTTAGGTTTATAGTTATTCCAAAATACATAAATCATAAAATAAATTTCACATGGAACAACACAAATTTATTTTAAATTCTTTGAAACTGAAGGAGCTCATAAACGAGCTTGAGAGTACGGAAAGGAAAAAAGGCTTGAAACATGTTTTGGTACTCATTGCAATGCTTTCCCCTAAACTAAGTGATTCAAGTGAATTTCACAGATATTAAAAATGGTCTATAACTTATATTAAACATCAATTCATTTGCAAATAAATACCTTAAGATTGTGAAGCTGTAGATATATTTTCTACTTAAAACTTTCCTTTTTTTCTTTGAGTCCTACCCATATTGTTTGGTCTTAGAAATCTTGGAGATGTGATAGGTCCCAATCAGAAGTCAAAGGAAAATAGTAAAGAAATTCTCTTCTGAGTCAGAATAAACCACAAGATTTTATATTACCCCCTTCATTGCTGCTTACGAAGAGTTTAAATACAATAAAAATACAACTGCTAATTCCTACTTTTAAGCAATAAGGATAATGGAACAAGATCATGAAACTAGAAAATAGGATAATGGCTTCAACTGCTTGCTGAAAATGGGATAATGGCTTCAACTACTTGCTGACTGAGTCTACCACAACTGCTACCCACCCTTTTACTGCTGAGATAATTTGGGTGTGTAACATTACCTCTCCCTATTTTACGAACCTTGTTCTCTAGGTTCGGCTAGTTGGATTTTTTTTTTTTTTTTTTTTTTGTATGTAAATGTGGAAATGAATATATGAAGAAGACGATGTTTGGTGCTGTTCTCTCTGGCTCATTTTTCCTAATATTTTTTTCTCCTCGCCCTCTCGATCATCATCATCCTCCATGTATTCACTCATATCAATTCTAACCAAGGCCTTCTCTGTGTTAAATAGAAAGCCAGCTAAAGTTTTGGCAAGCTCAGTTTTACCAACACTAGTAGGACCCATGAACATAAAACTGGCTATTGGGCGATTTGGATCTGACAAACCTTCCCTTGACCGCCGGATTGCATCAGACACTGATTTTACGATCATGTCCTGACCTATTATCCTTTTGTGAAGTTCTTGTTCCAAGAAGACCAGTTTCTCTCTCTCTGTCTGTTGAAAGTTTGACAAGGGTATGCGAGTCCATTTACTTACGATTTCTACAATATCAAGATCTGTAACATCTTCTCGACGCAAAGAACTTCCAGATTTTCGAAACTCAGCAAGGTTCTTTTCAGCAACTTCTAACTTTCGCTGAAGGGACATTAGAGTTCCATATCTAAGCTCAGCTGCCGGATTCAGGTCATATTCACGCTCAGCAGATTCCATTTCCAGATTAATCCTGTCAATCTCTTCTTTAATGGATCGAATTTCTGTCATGAGAGCCTTCTCACGCTCCCATTACGCAGTTAGTTTTTGCTGCTTCTCTTTAAGCAAGCTCAGATCATTTTCTAGCTTGTTTATCCTTTCTTTCGATGCTTTATCGGTGTCATTTTTAAGAGAGAGCTTCTCCATCTCCAACTTCATGACAACTCTGTCTATTTCATGCAATTCAGTTGGTTTAGAAGTGATCTCCATTTTCAGCTTTGCAGCAGCTTCATCAACAAGATCAATGGAGACTTGCGATGAAGAGGATTTGCTGATACTACTGATAGGTCCCCCATCAGTTCTTTCGCGCTGTCATCACGGAATGGCCACGTCTAGCTAGACCAGTCCGACGTGTTGCTGCTGGAGTATTTGCAGTTTACCAGTAACGTGTCGGTTAACAACTTGAGGGTGTCTTCAATCTGGTGGAACTTGTGGGCAAATCCCACCTCCATCTGACTCAAGCTATCCTGCAACTCTCTCAAGCTGGCTCCCAAGTTCTCAATTCCTTTTTTATTTATTGTCATGGTTCTGATACCAATTGATAAGTCCCAATCAGAAGCTAAAGAAAATTAGTAAAGAAATGTTTTTCGGGTGAAAATAAACCACAAGATTTTAGATTAAAAAATTGTCCTTTTTCATTACTGCTTAGGAAGAGTTTAAATACAATAAAAATAGAACTGCTAATTCCTACTTTTAAGCAATAAGGATAATGGAACAAGATCATGAAACTAGGAAATAGGATAATGGCTTCAACTGCTTGCTGAAAATGGGATAATGACTTCAACTACTTGCTGACTGAGTCTACCACAACTGCTACCTACCCTTTTACTGCTGAGATACTTTGGGTGTGCAAAAAAATGTTTACTTGTAAAATATTTCTTTGACTTTTAACCCATAACCCTAGTATTTAAATGATGCATTCGGTAAGTGTTTATGGAAGTTTGTAATGTTCCCTTTAAGGTTAAAGTTTTCGTTTGAATTGAGGCTCTTAATTGTCTATATCTTAATGATGAGATCTAGGTTCGCGTGCTGAATCATGTTTCACCTCCAGGAGTATGTGTGATTTGTTTTTGTGATGCTAAGTCTCATGGTCATCTTTTTCTGTATAGTGATAGAAACTTGGAGATTTTGGGCTTGTTTATTTGACACTTTCATTGTTTTCTTTTGGTTTCTCCTATGAACGTTGAGGCTTTATTACTTATTTTATTTGCATTGTAAGGAAAGGAAAGTAGATTTATTGCATTATGAATTGTTATATTCTAACTTACAAGCATATGATGTTAGGAAGAGTTGCTCAACAAATATATAAACTACTATGGATGATCATGTTTGGTCGCTGTGAGATTACATCCTTTAGAACTCCTTCACGCAGAGTATGCACGTGAACAGGCAAGGTACATACAGACACTGACAGAATATTAGCAGATCAAGCTCTAAAGTGGAACCTTGCTCTGATACCATGTTAGAGTCTGACCCAAAACCATGTACTTAGAAAAAGCCCCAGCATACATATAAACCGTTTAAATCCTCATACT